AGAGAGAAACTACCTCATACTGATATGGAGGAAAATAGAGCAGTATGTATAGAAGATCAAACCACAATATTCTTTTAAGAAAGGCTAATTCAGGGTAAGGCTCAACTCTATAAAGGAGAAAATCTTGTCATTCGCAACAACTTGGATGGCTCTTGAAGTGACTTAAATAAGACAGAAAGACAAATGTCTGAGCTTGTGTGTGGATTCCTTTATAGAAATAAAAGCAGTTGGCTCCCCACATCCATGGTTTTAAGCGTCTGTGGATTCAACCAGTCTCAGATTGAAAATACTACATAATTATACTTCCATGGTGGCATCTGTACTGAACATGTACAGTCATTCTCTAGGCAGTACAGTGTAACAACTGTTTATACTAGGTATTTATGTAAAGGATGTGGGTAGGTTTTATGCAACTACTATTCCCTTTTATATAAGGGACTTAAGCATTCTTGGATTTTGTTAGCTGTGGGGAGCCTCAGAACAAGTTTCCTGAGTGTATCAAGGGAAACTGTACCTTTAGATCTAAAGAACAAATTGAACAAATTGATGGTTGCCAAGGAGTCATAAGCTTTGGGATTTGGTCAGAAAGTTACAAAGAAGTCCTGAGAATGTGACCTAGCACATTGTGTATCATATATTGAAAGTATCCAGGAGAACAGAATCCTAAAAGTTCTCAGTACAACTTTTTTGTGTGTGTGTGACTTTATGGTGATGGTTATTAACTGAACTTGTTATGGCAGACATTTTGCAATATATGCAAATATAAAATCATTATATGTTTGAAACTAATATGTTAGATGTAAAAATGTCACTTAAAAAATAAAGGAAGATTCAGGTAATAGAAATAAGAAGTCTTCCTCCCAGTGTTTCAGAACTGCTTTTCATCTAATAGAATTTTCTGGTGCTCAGTCACATTTCAAAGTATGACCTGCTTCTTTCCAGAATGTTGACTCCTCTGACAAAAAACCAATCCTTTTTGAACTGAGTGCTGAAAGCCAAAATGCAGAAACAGAGTTTTTCAACAAAGTTTTCAAGAATCTTTCAATTAAGAGGTAATAGACATGTTTTTTTTTTCTTTTTTAATTATGTATTTTTTAAGTTACACTCATTAGTTTTGGATGAGTAAAATAACTTTCTAGTTCTGATGAAGTTGTATGTCAATATCTGATATGATATGTATTTGCTTTAAATACATTCCTTTATACTCAGATTTTAGATGATAATTTTAATGAAGTAACAACTCTAATATTCTCATTTGAGTTGATTTATTATATCGGAAGAAAGGTATTTGTCAGAAATCTTACTTTGGAAGAAACATCCTGTTTAGTTTTATTTGCCTCCTGTTTATTTTTTTCTTCATTGTCATTTTTAAGACTGAACTATCAGATACACTGCCATAAAAAAGAATTCATGTACCTTAAAATAAAATAACTTGTAATTGTCAGATGCTAAATTAAGTGGCCCAGATACTACTGTGGCTTATTAAAGCACTTTATTCAATTTCAAAAAGAAACAAACACTAGATTATTAAAGATTTATTATCTTCCCCTCAATAGGTCTTTCCAAACATTATCTCCAGGAAAAATGCCAATAAATGATCATGATTCTGGTGTTGAAGATGAAGATTTTTCTCCAAGACCAATTCCTAGTCCTCACCCAGTAAGTCAGAAGGTATCACTGATTTTATATAGAACTCGCCTTTGTGGTTATAAACCTAAAAATCTCTTTATGTTAAAGGACTCAGTAATACTATATAAAACTTAAGTTGCATTCTAAGATATGTTTAGGTGTCTGTATTGCTCTGGCATTATATGTAAATATATGCATTCTTCTGAGTTACATGTAGTTGTTACATGTAGCAATAAATGTGATTATATATGCACCTGTATTGTAAGTGTGTACATACTTAGTATTCACAGAGGAAATTGAGACATAGACCTGCCCATGTATTACTCAACTAGTATGTAGCAAAACTGAATTCTAACTCAGGTATGGTTAACCCTGTAAACTCAATATTCTATACTGTCACCAGAGCATGACATTGATTTTTATTATCATGTTTTGAAAAAATAATCTGGCTTTTAATTGCTAATAACCCCTGTTATAATTTTTTGATTGCAGCCGACTAGTGTGGGTTATTTTAGAATTAATGTAGCTTAATTAGACTAATTGCTATATTAGAGGAGTGGAACTATTTTTTTTTAATTAATAATGAAATTACAACCAAGTTCACCACAGTGAGTATTTTACTGTTTCCTGCTGTCTTCCAACACTCTTGGTATTAGTGGAATGAGTAATGGTGAATAACTTCACATAGTAGAAAAATATACTGAAATGTTTATTGAGGAGCCCTTCATATTTATTGTACAAAAACACAAAAACATTTTTTTAGTAGATCTGTAGATATATGTACTACCTGTGATAAATTTTTGCAGAGAAAGGGTTTTTTTAAAAAAAGCCCTGAATATTACAAACGTTTTCTTTATTGTGCTCTGTGGTGTAAGCAATATTGTTGAGTTTTTTTTAAGATTTATTTATTTATGCATGCAAGGGCTAGCGTATAGGCCAGAGATGTGGGGGTGAGAGGAGTCACCAGAGACAGAGTGGGGAGCAGAACAGGCAGATAGATGAAGTACACTGCTGAGGGGAGCAGCGGGCAAGACAGAAGTCTGCCATGCCATGTGGGTCACCTCTCTGGCTGGGGAGCAAACTTGTGCTGTAGTGGCTTCAGATAACTTTTCAGTGTTTTGACCTGTTGTGCCACCAGGGAGGGCTTCATGTAAGCAGTATTAATTAAGTGTTCCAATAAAAGGAGTTCCATTGTTGAGTAGGTTTGTGAAATGCTTAGTTTTGTTGTGTGCAAGCACCTTGTTTATTTTGCCATAATTGTATTCCTAGTGTCTAGCACATAGAAGAAGCCAAGTGTTTTCCAAGTGTTTGCCAAGTGTTTTCATATTTGCCAAGTGTTTTCATGGAGAATATATATTTTTTTTAAGATTTATTTATTTATTTGTGCATACAGAACTGGGGTACAGGCCAGAGGCTCAGGGGTGGTGAGAGGCTTCACCAGAGACAGAGTGGGGA